AGGACACCTTCCTATACGTCCGATTTCGTGGACATTTTGTGAACTCCATTGCTTTTTTTTTCAAACCTTATAGGTCTGAAAAACAGAATCAACCTTATAGAAAAACTTTTCTATATAATAAAAGCAATGGAGTCTACCAGACAAAATGCTCCAATTCCGGACAAAAAATTCGATTCTATCGAACGGATGAGGACTAACGTCCTTGATATGGCCAGGGAGAGAGGCCTAGAAATACAAGGGAAAATTAACAACCACTTCAACGAACTTCTCAAGAAGGAGAAGAGGAAAATAGTCGGAAAGGAAGTTAAATCGGCCGCAAGACAATTCCGAAGGCGAAGGAAGCAAACCGAGGCCGACGTGAAAAAGGAAATAAGGGATGCGAGGAGATGGAGGATAGATATAGCTAAGGAAGAGAAAAGACGACGGAAGGAAGTACTTTACTGGAAGGAAGAGGCCTCAAGGTGGAAGAAGGAAAACCGACGCTTAAAACGTAATCTCAAGGCTCGCGAAAAACGGGCTGAGGTAAACCGTAAGATCGCAGAGAATAGGTGGAGGGGTAAGAAAAAGTACGCCAAACTTCAAGCGAAGGTGGGTGACGAGCTTAAGAAAATATGGGAAATCCGACGTAGCGAAACCCTAAAACCCGTCCTAGCCAAACACGCCATCGAGGGAAAGGTAAAAAAGTACGTCATCACCCCAAACGGTAATTATTTTCCATCCTACTTCTTAGACATTACGGAAGATGAGGTTAGGGCACTCATAAACTCCGAAACGGGACCTAGGAACGTCAGGATGTCCTTAGCCTGTGACATGGTAAAGACCAAACCCAAAACCAAGGAAAAAATTGTAAAGGTACCCGGCTTTAGTTCTAGGAACCATAAGCTTATCGGTGCGGATGATACGGAAGAAATCCAGGATATTATGAGGGAAAAAATGGTGAAGTCCCTTTCGGAATACCAGAGGGAAGGTAGCTCGTGGAAACTACGTAGAGTCGTTCGGCTGGAAGTCCACATCGGAAAGTTCCGACCACATAGGGGTAAGAAACACGAACCACTACCTAAATCCATAGCCAGCAAGAAAGCGATTATCAACATGAAGAACAACGACGACGAATGTTTCAAGTGGGCTGTCACACGTGCCCTGAACCCCACCGACATCCATCCGGAAAGAATCACAAAAGAACTCAAGAGACAATCCGAAGGGTTGGACTGGGAAGAGACCGAATTCCCAACACCGATAAACGATATTAAAAAATTCGAGAAAAACAACGACATTTGTATCAACGTGTTCAGCGGCGACGATAAAACCAAGGTCTACCCCATACGGGTATCAGGAAAAGCCAATCCCGTAAGACTCTTCCTATGGAAAAACCACTATAGCGTTGTTAAGGATATGTCTAGACTCGTAGGTTCACAAATCAGTAAGAACGAACACAAAAAATATATATGTGATCGGTGTCTGAGCGCACACGGATCGGAAGAACTCCTGGAAAAGCATCTTGGATTGTGCTCGAAGCATGAATTTCAAAGACACGAATATCCAAAACCCGGAAGCACCACAGAATTCGGAAACTACGAAAGGATACAGCAATTTCCGATCGTCATCTACGCAGACTTTGAATGCTACATTAAGAAATTGGATGCAAATGAGCAAACACAACCCCCAGCGGATTCTGCTATTACATCAAGTGTTTCGACAACTCCATCTACAAACCCAAGCTGGTACACTATACACAGCAGTATGAGGGAGAAGACATCACCAAAAAATTTGTGGACATGTTGAAGAGGTAATGAAGGATATCCACAACAAGTTCAAGTTCAAGGTGCCTGTCATAATGACCTCCAGGAACATCAAAGATTACAAAGAAGCAACCACCTGCTACGCATGCAAGAAAGAATTCACAAAAGACTACAGAGTCAACGACCACTGCCACTATACAGGTAAGTACACGGGTGCAGCACACAATTCATGCAACCTCAAAATGAAACAACCAAAATTCATACCGGTCCTCTTCCATAACCTTGAAGGGTATGATGCTCACCTGTTTATCAAAAACCTCGGGGTGAGTAGCGGAGACATCAAATGTATTCCCAAAACGGAAGAGAAGTACATATCCTTTACCAAAGAGGTAGTCGTCGACACATTCAAAAACAAAGACGGTAAGGAAAAGAAGGTCAAAAGGGAATTAAGAATCCTGGACTCCTTCAAATTTATGGCAAGCCCCTTGGACAAATTTACCAAGGATCTAGGTAAGGACGACTTCGAAAATCTGAAACTGATGACATCAAACCTCACCACAAGACAACAGATGCTTTTAAGAAAAAAGGATGTATACCCCTATGAATATATGGACGGATTCGACAGACTGAAGGAAACATCCCTACCACCCAAGAAGAAGTTCTTCAGCAGTCTTACGGGTGAAGACGTCAGCGGTGATGACTATAGGAGAGCACAGAAGGTGTGGAACACCTTCGATATGAAAACCATGAGGGACTACCACAACCTATACCTTAAGACCGATGTCCTACTACTAGCGGACGTTATGGAAAACTTTAGGAAGATATGTAGAACGAACTACGGACTCGACCCCCTGTGGTATTACACAGCACCGGGACTGGCATGGGATGCGTGTCTCAAGATAACCGGGGTGGAATTGGATCTTATTTCCGATCCGGATATGTATTTACTCATAGAAAAAGGAATACGTGGAGGAATAAGCACAATCACCAAAAGGCATGCTGTGGCTAACAATAAGTATATGTCCAACTGCGATCCCAAGAAGAAAAGTAAGTTCATCTCCTATCTGGATGCAGGTAGTCTCTATGGATGGGCAATGAGTCAACCCCTACCATACAAGAACTTTAAATGGATGAACGACAAAGAGCTGAAAGAGTGGACAGAACACAGCTGTGTCCTCGAAGTAGATCTCGAATACCCCGACAACCTTCACGACCTACATAACGAATACACCCTGGCACCCGATAAGTTAACGGTTAACAGAACGGAAAAGCTCATTCCCAACCTTTACGGTAAGAAAAGATACGTTCTGCATCATACAAACCTAAAGCAATACATCGAAATGGGGATGAAGCTAACCAAAATACATCGGGGAGTCAAGTTCCTCGAAAAGAACTGGATGAAGAAATATATCCAGCTTAACATAGACCTTCGTACTAAGGGAACGACAGACTTCGAAAAGGACTTCTTTAAACTTATGAACAACTCCGTATTCGGAAAAACCATGGAAAACGTAAGGAACAGAGTCGACATCAAAACCGTCAACAACGAAAAGAAATGAACCAAGCTGGCCAAGAAACACAACTACAAATCGGCAACCATCTTCTCCGAAAACCTAGTAGCAGTTCATATGAGAAGAACCTCCGTAAAGCTGATAAAACCCATCTACCTTGGAATGAGTATCCTAGACATCAGCAAAACCCTCATGTACGAATTTCATTATAACTACATCAAACCAATGTATGGAAACGATTCCGAACTTCTTTTCACGGACACTGACTCTCCGTGCTACGAAATCACCACCGAGGACTTCTTCGCAGACATTTCCAAATATGTTTGTGAAAGGTTCGATACCAGCAACATCGACAAGGGTCATCCCTCGGGGATTCCAACCGGGGTAAACAAAAGGGTAGTCGGAATGATGAAATTGGAAACTGGTTCAAAGCAGATCGAAGAATTTGTAGGACTCAGGGCGAAACTGTACGCTTACAAAATGGCGGAAGATGGAAAGGAGGAAAAGAGGTGTAAAGGTGTTAAGAAGGCAACGGTTAAAAACGGAATAAAGTTTGAGCATTATAAGGAATGTCTCTTCAGCGGTGAGAAACAGTGAAACCATCAAGGTGGCACTGTCCGCAAACGATGATAAGAGAGAAGTTAACGAAGACAAAGTACACACCCTAGCATTAGGATACAAAGACCTAAGGCAGTAGGAATCCTAACAAACCGATTTTAATATTCAAAGGAACATTACAATTCAAATGAACCCGGGTACTCATCTATCTACCCCTAGTTGGACGCAAAAGCCTCTTCCAGGGCTCCGGCTTCCTTTCCCTCAGATACACCCCCTCCTGAAGTAGTACCTGGACGGATATCATATCCCCGTTCACGTGTATACTCGGAAACCTAATCAGAGCATCCAGGTAAAAATGCTTGTCGATGGGTTTCATGGGGTCTATATCCCCTCCCCCGTCCTCATACATCTCCGTGGTCTTGTCGATTTTTGCGTATAGGACGGGCTGCTTCCCACTTCGATAAAAGCATCTTATGGCTTTTGTTCCGGACTTTCCAACCTCTTCAGCACATCTCTTCTCCAATACTTCCAGGGCCGATATGAAATCCTTATGGTTTCCAACAGCCAATGGAATAGTAAAGTTCTCCTTCCCAAACTTCTTGTCCTTATTAATCCCGTAAGCCAAGCAGTCCTTCAGCTGGAGGAGTAAGGGTCCGCCGTCCTCCGCCACAAGACCAATGCTTTCAGACCCAAATCTGTTTCCGACAGGTTCCTCAAAGTCAAACGAGTCTCCGGAAAAGTCCTGTACTTTGGTAATTGACATGCTTCCTTTTATTATACACAAACCTTTCCCTTTAAACCACTTTCCCCAACCAAAGCTCCAACAAGCATGCGGGACGCGGCGGATGCGGTGGGCCTGCGGAAGATGTGGCGGACGGTAAAATTCATCGGGTCAACACCCACGAGGATTTGTGGCAAAATTGTCAGAGAATGTGTGTGTGCGTGTGCTTGCGTGGTCGCGACCACGGATGCGCGAGGACGGGGGCGTGTCCGGCAGGCAAAGGAACGTGTAAACGTGTGGACGTGTGGGCGCGGGGGCGTGTGGGCGTGTCCGGTACGAGGGCATGGGGGCATGGGGGTAGGCAAAGGAACTGGACAACCGGAAGTGACGTCATCGATTCAACCGGAAGTGACGTCATCGATTCAACCGGAAGTGACGTCATCGATTCAACCGGAAGTGACGTCATCGATTCAACCCGCGCATGTGCAAACCGATTTGTCCATCAAACGATATATATTCACTACTCTGGGATGATGAGCTTCCACCAGATATCGCGGAAAGATGGAGAACTTGGAAGCAAGGTCTTTTAAACCTGAAGAATTTTGGAATCCCACGTTGTTTCAAACCATCGGATTTTGGCAAAGTTGCCAGAGTGGAGCTTCACCATTTCGCTGATGCGTCGGAAGAACATGGCTATGGAACAGTTTCTTATTTTCGTTTCGTTAACAAATACGGTCGTATTCATTGTAGCTTTACCTTTGGGAAATCAAGGGTCAAACTACTCAAAAACGCAATGACGGTGCCGAAGATGGAATTAACCGCAGGGACTGTTCTGATATCGGTAATTAAATGATCTAATCACGAGAGAGTTGAAATACAGACTTCAGATCGATAGTGTCACATTTTGGACAGATTCAGTGATTGTCCTTGTAGAGTACGGTACCCTTGTGCATTGACGACCCCAACGCATGTTGGGACATGTATAAAAGAGAGTTCCGCCATCTTGTATTAATTTTAGACAATATATTTTGTATCTTACACTGGGCTCGTTTATCTTCTGTTTCGGCACGTTACTACATGGTAACAGCGGTGAAAAAATAGTAAAGTGGCAGACGATACAACAGTCAATATGTCCCAAGTATCAAGTATCCCGATTCCTGAGAAATTCGATGGGGGAAATGGCCCAAAACAAGGGACTTGTGGCCGAAGTGGATACGCCGGTTTGAACGCTACAGAATTGCCTCGGGGCTTAATAATAAATCGTATGCCGAACAAGTATCTACATTACTGTATGGGATGGGTGAATGCGCTGATGATATCTCGAAGACACTACAAATTGACGAGGACAAAGCTTCGTACGAAGAAGTCAAGTCAGCACTCGAGAATCACTTTTCTGACAGAAGAAACGTACTTGTTGAGTGGGCTCGCTTCAACCGGAGGGTTCAACGACCTGGGGAGCCAGTGGATACATTCATCCAGGATCTCTACAAAATTGCAGCAGATTGTGAGTATGGAACATTAAATAACGAATTGATTAGAGATATAATTATTGTAGGGGTTGTAGACGATTCACTCTCAGACCGCCTACAGTCTAAGCCAAAACTGACTTTACAAGAAGCAGTGCAGATTGCCCGTCAAGCACAGGAACGAAAACATAACAGCGATGTAGTGAGAGGGGATGCCACAAAGTCTAGTGATGTTTATTATGTCCGCAATGGGGCCCAAACCTAGGGGAGATATCACAAGCAAAATCCTCGTTCCCAGGAAACTAAGGGTCCCCATACACCACCTAAGAAATCAGGGGATAAATGTAATTGGTGTAGCCATGAAAGGCATGACAGTAAAGTTTGTCCAGCAAGGTCAGTTACCTGTAATAAATATAAGAAAAAAGGCCACTACCAAGCAGTTTGTCAGAGCAAGCCAAGTTTTTCCAAGTCAGTTAACGAAGTTAAGAGCCTGGGGCAAGATCAGGTCCTGTTTCTCGGGGAGATCAATGGGGAAAGTAATGATTCCTGGACTGCACAATTAGGGCACATCAGTTTGTGTGCTAAGTGATTCAGTTCCATGGCTAGAGGGTATTACGTTGGAAAAACCTCAACAAACCCTTAGAGGTCCGTGGGGATCCAAGCTCAAAGTTATGGGAACTTTCATGACTACCATGAAATACCGTCAGAGTAAGGTCTAGGAACTGGTATATGTTATTCGGAATCAGCCTTGCTCCATATTAAGCAAGAAAGTTTGTGTACAATTGGGTCTTGTCAAATTGAATGATGTAGGGGAAGTTATTCAGTCCCCCTGACTTCCGAAAGGAGTTTCTTGGATTGTTCAAAGGGTTGGGGAAGCTGAAAAAGGAACACCATATAACACTGCGTGATGATGCCACCCCGTTTTGTCTGTACAATCCAAGAAAGGTTCCCCATACCCTGATACCTGTAATAGTCTTCGAGCTTTGTATTTTTATGAGATAAGTACAACAACAACACGAGGCCCCATGGGGGGGTCTCAAACCGGAAGTATATCATTACATCCTCCTTTCCCTAACATTAATATGAAAGTTTATAGTTCCTTGAGTTTCAGTATAGTACTATAGTTTCTTTTAGATATCAATAAGATAAGAAGTTTTGTATATATATAATAACAAGTCATTTACAGACTGTCGTATTGTGTTCAATTTCTTTCTACATATCTAAAGGTGTTGGGGGTACTACTATTCTGCCGCTACGCGTTGTGTATTGGTGGCTTTCTTGGGTGCTCTTAGGGAACGGGGTTTCGGGGTTGTCTAGTGTTTTCTCACAGGGTTGTTGATATGCTTGTTCCATTGGATCTTGTGGACGTTCTCGTATCTGTGTTCAATTTCGTCTGATTTCTCCTCCTCCTGGTTTCGTGATAATGTAAGATCGGGGTACTTCTTGAATTTTCTCTTTTATCTCTGCGGGTTTCCAGGTTTGTGTCCTTGGGTCTTGGATGTTTATGCTTTGACCAGGTTTTAATGGTTGGAGCGGTTTTGTATTTCTGTCATGGTAGTATTTCTGCGTAGCTTGCCGCTGTAATAATCTGCTAGTCACCTCCTCAGTTGTTTTTCCTTTCGGTATTTTCTTTGGCAGGTTGTCTTGGATTGGTCTACCAAATAAGAGCTCAGCTGGGGATGGAAGAGTGCTGTTGATTGGAGTTGCCCGTAAGCATAACAAAGCCATGCGTGGGTCTGTATTGGTTGCTCTTGCTTTTTTCATTGTCTTTTTCGTAGTCTTGACTTGGCTCTCAATAAACCCATTGCTTCTGGGGTAGTGTGGTGAGCTTGTGGTATGTTGGAAATTATATTGCTTTGCGAACTCTTTATATGCTTGTCCTTCAAAATGGGGCCCATTATCGGATCTTACGATTTTGGGTACTCCTTGTTCGCTGAAAATTTCTTTCGTTAAATTCGCGATTGTCCTACTGCTGCTCTTCCCTTTTGGTACCTCTCGCACGAACTGGTATTTTGAGTAGTAGTCAGCGACCAATAAGTATTCCGCTCCGTCTAGGTAGAATAAGTCCGTGCCGATGGTATGCCATGGACCTGGCGGTACCTCTGTCTGGATAAGTGGCTCTTTGGGTTGACTGTTCTGCATTTCTTGACATGTATTGCACGATTTGCACGACTTCTCAATGTCACTGTTCATTCCTCTCCAGTAAACCGATGTTCGAGCTCTTAATTTAGTTTTTTCGGACCCTTGATGACCTGCGTGAAGCTTCGTAAGTATCATGCTCTGCATAATATGGGGGATGATAATACGTTGGCCTTTCATTGCTATACCATCTTCGGTGGTGATCTCATCACGAAAGGTCCAATAGGGTTTGAGGATTTCTGGAACCTGCTTTATGTTCGTTGGCCATCCATTGTAAACCACATCATTTAATTCTTTAAGCTCCGTATCTGTTGCACTTGCCACGCGGATCTCCTGCAGAATCCCACTACTAAATTGTGGACAGATTTCGTGTATTTGGACGTCCAT